GTGCACTGTGTGAGGGAAGTAGGGGCTGTAAACTGGGAGTATAGGCAGAGATGGCTCTCTAATTAGGCGATTTAGGTGGCCGCCTAAGGCCTCACATTGTCTGAGGCCTCACGGTTGGCCTAAATCGCCTTAGGGCAGACTGATCTGCTTGCCCTGTATACCGCCGGGTACATGATCCCTCCATACAGTCTGCCCTGGGGGAGAGCCAGCACAGTATCCTGTCTGTAGCTCCCCCAGGTCCAGAGATGCATACTAAGGTATTGCTCGATCTTCAGCAAATCAGAGTGTTGCCGATGGTTACCACGGCAATGCTCTGACTGGACATTGCAAGACTTACCACATGGTCTGCAGCTCTACACCCGTTGGAGTTGCAGGCCGCAAAGCCAGCCCACTGGACCACCAGAGGAATCCACCGGACCACCAGGGAATAATAATTAAAGGGGGGTGGAGAGAAGGTATTTATATTCATTTATTAAAATTAACCTCCTAATCCTGCCATTCATCCCCTCCAAACTCACTTGCCCTCGCATTGCCACACTCACCCTACCACATTAACTCCCCAATCCTGCCAGATTTGCCTTCTCTCGCACTGTCACACATCCTCTATCAGTCTATCACACTCACCCTACGACATAAATCCTTCCAATCCTGTCCTCCAACTGTGCCACACTCACCCGGTCACATTAATGCCTCTAATCCTGCCACACTCACCCTGTCAAATTAACCCCCCTTAATCTTGTCACACTCCCTCCTCCAAACATGACACCGCCCCAAACTATGCCACACTCACCCTGTCACATTAACCTCCTCCAACCTTGTCACACTCCCTCCTCCAACCATATCACAAGCCCCCTATCATTCTCACCCTCCCTCATTCTGTCACACACACCCCCAACCGTGTCTACAGAGTCTGTTCCTCAAATACGTGTGTTGTCAGCACCTGTGTCCCGCAGCACCCAACCCGCCATGTAGAATGGCTGTCGTGACATCTGCGGGTCCGGGGGTAGTCGGGGGGGGCGGGGAAGTGGGCCAGAGTCAGTCGGGTACGCATAGGCGCCCATTTGCATGTCGGGGCGGGTCTGTCGGGTAGGGGGGGGGGTGTAGGCGTGGGTCCTTAGGGGAAATATTCGTTATGTGTTAGTAAGATACATCGGCAGTTTAAGTAAAGAGTTATACAGGGTAGGGCCCGGTTGGGCGAGCAGGTGGATTTTCGAGGATCCAGTTCTGTACGTGGACATGTGGCAGTCCTGCGGACTGGAGGAATCGGGGGACATCATTGGGCCAGCGTAGTGTGTGCCAGCGGTTATCAATCTTGGCTTGCAGGCTGAACGGAAAACCCCACTTATAGGGAATCCGTCTTTCTTGTAGCATGTTTGTTAGGGGCTTCAGCGCCCGTCGGGCATCAAGCGTGAGGGACGATAGGTCCTGAAACAGCATTACCTGGGAGTCCATGTAAGCAATTGAGCGCTGGGTCCTGGCAGCTCTCATAATGGCGTCTTTCTGTTGGAACGATGTGAGGCAGCAAATCATGTCCCTGGGTTGTCCATCTCTCCTGGGGCCACGTAATGCTCTGTGTGCTCATTGCATGGGTATTTCAGGGGGGGCATCATCCCCAAGAAGTTGCGCAAAGAGGCCCATCAGCAGTTTCCGTGGGGACTCGTCGTCGGCCTCGGGGAGGCCCCGCACTCGTATGTTGTTGCGGCGGCCTCTATTGTCCAGGTCTTCGACCTGTCTGCGCATCTCGAGGAGTATGTTCCCCTGCCGTGCGGTTGCCAAGTCTGCAGCTTGTTGATGGTGTGTGGCGTGGAGGCGGTATTCCTCCAAATCATCCACCCTCTGTTCCAGTGCCGTTAGGTCTCTGCGCACCGCGGCAATTTCTTCCCGGATGACGGAGCGCAATTCTGAAACCAGAGCAGTTTTGTCCCCTCGTGTGAGCATGTTGGCGGATATAGCCGCTAGGTCGATCGACATTTGGGTCAGTGCATCAGTGCTGGGTGCGTCGCTTATGGAGCCTGCTACACTGCTGGTGCTCGGGGAGGAAGGCGCCATCTTGTCCGCGCCTCGTGTGCCTCTGAGGTGCTGTGGAGTGGACAGGAATTCGTCCATGGGACCGGGTTGTTGGCTCGTGTGGGGTGTGGGTGGGTGTCTCGGGGTCACAGCCCGTTTGGGTTTCCCCATGAGGACCGCAGAATGTGCTTAGGGTCTGGGCTTAAGCGGCTCGGGGCCTGGGAGCGAGTGCAGTGTGCGACTTACTCCATCTGCGGTCGAGCCACGCCCCCTCACAAAACTCCATCTTGACATCATAATGGCAGATTTCTCATTGGATTAACTTTGATACCAATTATATCCTTAAATATTCTATTTATGAAAAAAACAAAACACATCCCAGCCTTTAAAAAAAATTAAATTTTTTTTATAGCATCTGATATGACAACCTCTGTAGGCAGAGAATTCCACGCCTTTATTGTTCTTACTGTAAAGAATCATTTTCTTGACCTCATGTCTGTGGTATATTTCTACCTGGGGCTGGACTGGCCTTCCGCAAAACCAGTCAAATGCATCGTAAGCCCCGAGGACCATGGTTTAAAGCTAACAAGGAAGATCACAGAATCTCCCAGGCTTCGCATCCGCCAATCTCCCACACTGGCCAGCCCTCTGTAATGCTGTGGGGCCCTGGGAGCTCGCATTGACCTGCTCCTGGAAGTAATCTGAGAGGTGCCGCGGGTTACCACAGCAACAGTCGGATACTTTCCCTATAGCCTGCAAGATGGAGCAGAGCATTAGCTAATAGAACCACCAAGGAACATGTCCCCACTTCTTGGCCCAAGGTAAGCAAAAGGAAGGGGGTACTTGAGTAGTAATAATTATTATATTAAAAAGACACTATAGTCACCAAAACAACTTTTGCTTAATTAAGTAGTTTTGGTGTATAGGTTATGCACCTGCAGTCTCACTGCTCAATCCTCTGCCATTTAGGAGTTAAATCACTTTGTTTATACAGCCCTAGTCACACCTCCCTGCTTGTGACTTACACGCCTTCTGTATAGAGTCATCTCATGTTTTATTCTTCATTTATTAGAAATTCCGTTTAATTTAGAATTTATTTCCTGCTCTATTGATGGCTGGATAGACCCTGCAAAACACTCCTGAATGTAATTAAAGTTCAATTTACAGAGCAGGAGATAAAAACTTCTAAAGCAAGTTAACATGTGATTTGAAAATGAAACCGTTTTATTTTCATGAGGAAAGAGACAAGGAGTGCCCCTAAGTTAAAATATAGCTTTTAATAGTATAGTTTAAAATATTGTGTGCTACCGGTATAAATAAACAAAATATTTAATGAACAATGACCCCTAAGGGTTAAAATCTTGTAAGGAAAAAACAACTCACGCTAAATATACCTTTGAGTCAAAAAAGAAGTCCTGTTCAAAAGTTTTCAGGATACTTCTCCTAAAAAACCAACGGTTATTACAATAAAATTAAATATACAGAGTTATAAAGTAACTGTATATAACAATAATAAGGTCACAAGGAGTTATATAAAGGCAGCACAGGAAAGTTACATTTAACAGTGTATAGTATTCACTGTTCCTGTGCTTCCAAACGAACTCGGAGAGAAAATATATATGTGTAAATAGTGCTAATTAAGAGTCTATATCCAGCACAATAAGATATTACTACCATTAACAGTGCTTAAAGAAATATGTATATCCGCACTGAAAAAGAAGAAAAGAAAAAAAGAGAGAACTCCTATTGCAACAAAAAAAAACGAAAATAGGGGGAAGAAAGAAAATAATGCCAGGATAAATGAATAAATAAATATGTCCGGTCCACATAAAAAAAACCCTAAATGTTGAAATCGGAGTGGGCTCAGGGATCCCTCAGATAATGCCCAAATAATTAATACATTCTGGTCTGTGTTCAATCTAATATAATGCTCCTCTGAGGGTCCCCAAAAAGAGCCCCTTATCCCCTGACGCACACGTTTCACCCGCAGCTCATCAGAGGGGAACCGATGCGCGGGAGGAAAACCGATATATAAAGGTAGGTAGACAGTTCTTATTGGTCAATTTAAAAAGAGTCATCCCATTGTTAACCAATCAAGGAGGAGGGACTCGGTTGTAACATAAATCGGTGTAACTAATACAACCGAACGCTGATCTTGGTCCATTTAACCCCTCAGAGGTTAAAACAATGGAAGTAAAACAACATATAGTTCTAAATGTGGCCCCATTGATAAGTATAGGTATATAATATAACGCTGGGGCATAAAAAGAGAGATTAACCCCCAATAGTTATGGAAAGGTTAATGACTAATTAAAGTAGAAACTTAAAAACAAACTCCAAAGGAATATGTTTATATAAGAAAAATATATATATATATAATAAGATATCTCCAGCGATATTATATATATGTGTTTCACCATTCTGAATACTTATGAAAAAGGTGGTATATATGTCTACATTAGAAAAAGACTCCTACTCCGACCAGAAGGGAAAGAAGGAAATTGTGCCGAAATGGACCAGATAAAGTACAATGTCCGGTCCACATAAAATCCCTCCAAATGGGGCTCAAGTGTCCCTCAGGCTATGCAAAATACAAATTCATGCATTCTGATTTCGACAGGGGTTAATATAATGTCCATCTAAGGATCTCTAAGGAGCCTCCTAATCTCTCTGTTCATTTCCAAATATTAACGTGGCCTAAATGAATTAACCCAGAAGAAATAAACACTTGAATATAATTGCCGCTGTGTTTTCTATTATAAATACGGCAGCCGATGTTGCTAGTTAGAAAAGGCTTAGTTAATAAAAAATAAAAAATAAAAATTTCTTAGATGACAAAAATGGTACTCATAAATATCAAAGCATAAATTTACAGGATAAATATTCTAGATACTAGTAAGATATACAGACTTACCCTACATAGCATACATACATATTTGAATAGTTTCAATACTTTTAGTTAGTGTATCAATTTAATGAATAAAGGGGGTGAAATTAAATTCCTCATTGAGGCCCCCTGGTGTTAAAGTTTGGAACTCATATATCCATCTTGATTCTTTTTGTAGTAGAATTAAATTGAAATGTCCTTTCCTAGAATTCAATGTGACTCTTTCTAAGGCTTGGAAAGATAAATTATTAGGGTTGCCATCATGAAAGTTTCGAACATGATTGGCAACTGGAGTACTCAAATTTAAGTTTTTAACCGAATTAATGTGTTGGAGAATGCGTCTCCTAAATTCCTGATAGGTCTTACCAATGTATTGCATGCCACACTGGCATGTTAAAACATAGATGATTCTTGTAGTGCTACAATTAATAAAATGATTTACTCGAAATTCCTTCTGAGTTCTTTGACATTTGACGGTTTTTGAAGGTTTCACAAAGGTGCACGCTTTACAGTGGCCACATCTGTG